TATATATATATATATATATACATTATATATATATATATATATATATATATATATATATATATATTTATATATATATGTATATATATATTTATATATTTATATATATATATTATATATATATATATTGATATATATATTTATATATATATATATATATATATATATATATATATATATATATATTGATATATATATAGATATACATTTATATATATATTTATATATATGTATATATATATATTTATATATATATATTTATATATATATTTGGTTGGATAGATGTGAGTTTTTGACCCAGGGTTTCACGCTTTAGCGATCGTCAGACAAACTGATTAATGTTTTTAAAAAATTGGGTTTATGTAGATTGCGTGTATTTGTGTTATTGTGGAAGTGGTGGGGAAACTTCGTCGTTTTGTCATTCATCGTACTAACACAAACATTGATGTATGCAGACACATATACATACTTGATCATCCGTCGGGACTCATACATATATAAACATATGTGGGCAGTTTCGGCTATGACACATGTATGTATACGGGTGGTGTTATATCTATACATACGCATTTGTATGTTGAAATGTTGAAATTTAAACATTGGAAGTGTGGCGGAAATGTCTCGTTACTGTATCCATGTCATATTATGTTTTTCTGCTGAAAAATATTTCCTCGCATGTATGTATATGCGTGTGGTGGTGTTTGTGTAAAATTATGATAGGTAAAATTATTATAATTTATATTTATTTATTTTTTGAAAAAAAATGTTTTTTTTTTTTGTTATATTTAAAGCTGGTTATTTGTTTGTTTTTGGTGACTCTGTATATGTAACAGGTAGAAAGTTGTAATCCTTATTGGTTAATTTATATGGTGATGTTTAGTTTAATATTCAATGTGCTGGGTGAGAGGGTAGTTCAATTTAATAACGGGTCTATATGATATGATGTGATAGTAATGTTTCAAGGGATTGGAGACAATGATAGTTAGCTAATAGTTATTGTAAATTGGTAGAAATTGTAAATTGGTAGAAATGATTAATAACGGTGGTGGGAGAATGATTAAACCATGAATGTAGTTATAGTGGTGGTAGCTTGAACTAAAAAGTGGTTATTGTTGTTTTATTTTATTTTTGTTTTATTTTGTTATATATATTAATTTATTTGGTATAAATCTTGATAATAGGTATTCTATGTAAATTTATGGTAGTTTGAGATTGCTATAATTTTTAATTATTAATTACAAAATTATTATTGTTATTATATTAAAGCTGCCTGGTAATAGGAGTTTATTCTCATGTTTGCATATGGAAATTATATCTGATCATATTGTTTTAAGGTATTAAATATGCTGGGGGAGTAATAAAGATTGTAGTGGATTTATATGTTAATAGTGGGTGTGATGTGTAAGTGATGGTGCTGGGTGTTGGTGGTAATGATAATATTGTTAGTTAAAAGGTATTGTAGTAAAAGTGATTACTAATGGTGGTGCAATTATAATAATGATAGATGCAATTATTTTGATGGTATCTTGAAATTAAATTGTGATTGTTGGTGTTTTGTCTGTTTTATCCGTTTGGTATGAATTCGGATAATAGGTACTTGTTCTCATGCCTACATTTGGAGATTATCTCTGATTTTTTTGTTTAGCAAGTTCTTTTGCGGTTTGTGTGATATTATTGCTACTTTTTCGTGTAGGCAAAGTAGGCATTTTTTTGTAATGTTGTTGTAGGCAAGGGCTTTTTTCAATATTTCCCAACTTATTGTTGGTGTGATGTTTTTGTCTTTTTGCTGCCATATGTAAATGTTGTGCTGTTCGAATATTTCCTGTTGTTGAATGAAAGGTTGTGATTGTTATTCCTCATTTTGAATGGACCTTCGGTGGCACCGATGTAGTGCATAGTGTTGTTGTTTGTACTTACCTTGGCCATGTATATGTTGGCAATTTCCCTGGAGTGGACATCTTGTTCTGTTTCTGCAGTTGCATATTGGATCCTTGGGTAAATTTTTGTAGGTTCTCATTTTTTTGTTGTGGTTTTTGATTATTTCTGTTATGTTTTTTGTACAGCTGTAACTGATCTTTACGTTATTTTTGTTAAATATTTTTGATAATATGTTTTCTTCAGTGAAGTGTTTTTCTATTAAGTTTAGGAATATTTTGCCTATGTTCATTTTAACAGTTTTGTTATATGGTGGATTAAACCAGATAATGTTTCTCTTTCTGTTTCTGCGTTTTGGCTGTGGAGGTATATATTGTAGTTGTTGTGTGTAACCACTTGCTTTTAGTGCTTCGTTGTATGGTGCTTTTTAGCTATTGAAAATGTGTATGTTAGATGAGTTCTCAGATAGTCTGCGGCTGATTGATTTTGGTATTTGTTTGATGATAGAAGGTGGATGGTTAGAGGATGTGTGTACCCAAGTTGGGGTGTCATTTTCTTTTTTGTATGGTTCATGTGTGTTGTTGATCAGGTTAAGAGTGACGTCAAGGAAGTTTGCTATTGTTGTGCCTGTATCTATCTCTGATATTGAGCTCTTTCTAATTCTAGTTCCGCGCATATAATATATAAATAATTATACATACTTATATTTATTTATATTTATATACACTTTTCACATATATTTATATATATATATATATATATATATATATATTTATTTCACTGTCGTGTCCGTATTTTGTTTAATATGTTTGTAATTTACATCTTTCATAATGGCTTAAGTAAGCCGAAAGCTTAGATTATATTAAAAAAATATGGATCAATATTGTGAATTTCTTTCTTCGTTTACCGATAATGTTATTAAACATTATTATATATTTATATTTATATATTTATATATATATATATATATTTATATATATATTTATATATATATATTTTATATATATATATATTTATATATATATATTTATATATATATATTTATATATATACAGATTTTATATATATATATATTTATATATATATTTATATATATATATTTATATATATATTTATATATATATTTATCTATATAAATATTTATACATATATTTATATATATATTTATAAATATATATTTATATATATATTTATTTATATATCTATAGATATACATTTATATATATATATATATATATTTATATATAGATAGATATACATTTATACATATATATATATATATATATATATATTTATATATAGATAGATATACATTTATATACATATATATATATATATATATATATATATATATAGATAGATAGATAGATAGATAGATAGAGAGAGAGAGATAGATAGATAGATAGATATCTGATAGTTTTCATGAGAAATATTAAAAATTATTTCCGCATGGACAGGGAATTGCTAGGATTGCCATACTAACAGCTTCTGTTTTACTTTTCGCTTCTGCAACTCACGGCTTCTTGCTTCCCAGTCAACATTAATCTGCCAAAAATCAAATTCAATATCATTCGTTATCTACTGTCATATTTGTTCTTGTTATTTCAATGTTTTCCCACATTAATTTTCTTTTCTTGTTCATATTCTCTAATAATCACTGTTCCCTTGCGTCTTAGTGGCCATATTGCCTTGCTTGGGTTGAAATGATTTAAAAGAAAAAAAAATGGAAGAAATAAAAGATTTTGTCTCCGACAAAATAACAAAAGTTCAGTATCAATTAGGAAAGTTCGATTATGTATAATTTTATGTTATGTTCCGCTAAGGTGTTTACAAGCCACGTGCCAAGTTCTTTCTCTCACAGGGTTTGGGATAATTAATGGAACAGAGAAACTAAATTTTAGTGAGTGTCTGCATTCGCGCTTCCCATTACACATGTTAAATTAAAAGACCCGCAGGCCAAATTACTAATCTCCTGATGATTTCAATAAATATGGCCGACTTCAATTCGTAAACATTAAAACTTCCCATCTTTCCGAATCTCGTTCGTTTCAATTCGATTTTATTGATCGTTGTAAATGTCTAAATTGCCTAACTTTATGGGAATGGTCGTCGTAAACGTCTGCTACTCGTGAAAAACAAGAATGTAGGTAGTCAGTGTCACTTTGTCTCCTTCAGGATTGAAGAGTAAAATTAGTAATAGTAAAAAGTTCTGATGTTTTAAAACATAACTTTTGTTCTTAAACACAGCCCCTTTATCCGCGGTTTCGCTTAAAGACAAATAAATAAATCAAATGCATATGAAATATATATCTATGTATGCGTAAAATTCTGTGACTTGCGTTAGACAGTTCGTCCGTCCGCCGCACACTCTAAAATAACCATATATCGAAACCAGATGTTAGGGAGATGGACAAACGGCTAAGGGGGCAAAAATGCAGTTATTTTTGCTAGGGTGCGTCGCTTAGTACAATAAATTTTTGGGAGGGGGAAAAATTAAGTGTTTTATTATTTAACGTTCAAAATACTCCAACTATTTAAAAATAACAATTTAATGGTTAAAATAACAAATACTTATTTAATAAAAATGCAATATTATTTTATTGGATATCATTTCTCTATTTTTTTTATATATTTTTCATTCTGGAAAAAATATAATCCACAGTAGCATCACTATAAATATAGGCACAATAGGAAGAATACGGTTTGAAAATCTCAAGAGAAAATGTTAGCGATATCTTTTCATCACGAGTCAGCATATTACAAAAAAATTCTACTCTCTATATAACATCATGTGTCTTCTGTTTGTCCGTCCGTCCGTTGCACCCTCTAAAATCACCATACATTGATATACCAATATCAGATTTTAGGGAGAAGTACAAACAGGTAAGGGCTTATAAAGTACAGTTCGATTTACTATCTTGCGTAGATTTGTTGCAGCGGGCCGAGAGGTGTGAGTGCCAATCGACCGTACAACTAAAATAGGGGACACAAAGGCAAAGAGATGGCAATAGCAAAGAAGGATGACAAATGCAGATGGTCCGTTGTAGACGATGGAAATCGTGTCTTTATTTGCGAACGGTGGATGGTAAGACGACAGAGGTCGTTTGTTCGGGAACGGTGTCCGGACGTTAACGGGCGCTGGACGTCAGTGGGCACTGGATTAGATCGTCAGCGGGTGCTGGAATAGGTAGCGGGACGTCAGTAGAGCGCCGCAGGGGTGAGCTGGAGGCCGCGAGAAGCTGTTGGGGTGAGCTGGAGACTGCAGGAGTGCTGGGAGCTGCAGGAGTGAACTGGAAACTGCAGGAGTGCTGGAAACTGCAGGAGTTCTGGAAGCTGCAGGAGTGAGCTGGAAGCGGTAGGAGTGAGCTGGAAGCGGTAGGAGTGAGCTGGAAGCTGCAGGAGTGAGCTGGAGGCTGCAGGAGTGCAGCTTCCAGCACTTTGGAAGGAAAAATGAAAGATTTATTATTTTACATACAAAATATTCCCACAAATCTAGCTTCTAGTTCCCACTTCGTTTGCGACAAATATGAAGAAATCATAAAGCCAAAAGCTTGAAAATATAGAATGTTGCTCCAGATATAAATATTTACGCATGAAGAGTCTTATGACGCATGCTCAAGATTAAGAAATACTATGAATTAAATTCTTTGCTAGAAAAAGGGAAATATAATTTTTCTTAAAAAATATTGTTTAACATGAAGTCCTATAAAGTTGAATTAAAGAAATTTTTTAACCACAAATTAGGGTTTTTGACAAAGTATTCTTTCTGAACAAATCATCTTATTAAAATTTCAACGATCGATTTAAGAAATTGAATGAAACGTAGTGTTTATAATTCCAGAATTAATGTTAGCGATAATTTCAACAATGCCAAATACTATGAAGATATCAACATAGTTCAGTTTAATAAAAGCGAGAAAATCTGACATAAAAGTGGACACAAAAGCAACTAAAATGTTTGATAATACAAAAAAAAATAATGAGAAAAGAAAAAAACAAATATATAATAGATCGAACGAACGGGGTATTATTTGAGTCGAAGGGAATGATATTTTTTAATTTCCTTGATCGAGTTCTGATTAAAGACGAGCGATATCTAGTTTGGCCATTTTATTGTATTTTTCCTGTTTTGTTACTTATCATGCAGACAATAATACAATGACTTCATCCTTAAACACTTATTACGCCTAATTTACAAACTTAAGCCCGTCGTACGTAGATGACTATATCACAAAATAAGCATTGTCCATTGTATATTGGACGGGCAATTATTGTATTTTTTGTATTATATTTATATTAAATTTCACACAGTTGAAAGCACAAGAGAAACGCATGGTATTCAGTTAATGAATCAGCTGGATAGAAGGAAGACGAGGAGAGAAAGGAATTGAAGACAAAGAGAGTAAGGATGATAGCGATTTATCATTGATATAAAGAGGTTTAGATTTTAGTATTCACGGAAGCATCTCCGCGTGCGTTTATTCTATAAAGTAGAAGAACTAAGGGAGCAAAATTCTGAGTGTAAATGCATCCTTATAAATGTATGGTGATGAAGTGTTGATGACGCCATTTTGTAGATGTAGAAGGGTGTGTCCTAATTGCAATTGTCTGAACTGGTTAAAATAAAGAGAGAGAAGCGTCTGAAATTTTGTCATGGAAAAAGCGACAGTGTAGCGCAAACCTTGTGACGGTGCGTCTCTCGGGAAAGAGTTTGCAGATTGGAAAAGACGTTATACGCTTTCAAATCTGCGTAAAAGATGTTGAAATGGTTAAGTGTGGATAGGGCAGCTGAAACCAAACAAAGAAAGGATAATCATGTTTATATAATTTAACTGTTACGCGGTAAAGGCATACTAAATCTATCTTACATATAACATAGAGAAGGTTACTGAATAGAATAATCACAGGAAGGTTGGAAATGAACGGTAATAGTTAGGACAAGAACAACACATATAAGATTCTCCAGAGGTAGTCAACTATAAGAAGTGAGTCAAGTGTATTCCACATTGAATCTTCAACTGTAGGATATCTAACAACCAACCCATGCGGTCAGATGTGGCACCAGGCCGAATTTAATGTGAGGTATTCGAGCCCGTAGGCTTGGCCAAAAATTCACCGTAGACTCCGTATAAAATGGGATCGGGTAGCTGTTTCCCGAGACAAGAATCAACCCTTCGACATAGCCTCGTCTGAGGATCCTCTTTGCCTGGAGTCAGAGAGTTTGACCACCAAAGCTGCAGATGAATCTCCAACGGCAATATATTTACCAACCGCCCCAAACTGCCAGATGTGGCACAAGGCCGAATTAAATGTGGGGTATCCGAGTCCGTATGTTTCGGCCAAAAATTCGCCGTAGACCCATTATCGTCCGTAGGTATGCTACAACGCATATCTTGCACATTCTTTCATGGACAGAATGTATATGCCACTTCTGGTCTGGTGCTCTATCTATTTAGAGTTTCCTGATGAAATACAAAGAAGAATCTGCAATCTTATTGGTCCCGATTTGGCATCCCGGCTTCAATCATTTTACCACCGCCGTAACATAGCTTCTCTGTAGCTTTTCAATAAATAATTTCATGGTAAATGCTCTGATTAGATTTCCTCTAAGGTACCTAGACTTTATGAATTCAAACGCAGTACTAGATTGGCGGTGAGGTCTTATCCTTTCATATTTTTATATTGAAATTGATAGATATAACAGTAAGTCCTATTTTCTTCTATCGCGTTTGTTGAACTTCCTTCCGGCTTCTTGCTTTCGACTCAACTCAATGTCAATACTTATCTACTGTTTTCTTAATTCTTGTTCTTTTATTGTTCAGAAGGGACGGTTTCATCTACTAAAGTATAACATAGAGAAGGTTACTGAATAGAATAATCACAGGAAATGAACGGTAATAGTTAGGACAAGAACAACACATATAAGATTCTCCAGAGGTAGTCAACTATAAGAAGTGAGTCAAGTGTATTCCACATTGAATCTTCAACTATATCTACCAAACAACCCACGCGGTCATATTCTCCTTGCTTATCTTTTATTCTCTAACATCGCACCTATCGTCCGGTACCCACTCATTCTCGCTTTTTAAAACCGGAGTAGAGGTGTATCCCTCGTTTCTGGATTAATTTCTTGTTTCCTTCTAAAATCCTTTCCCTCTCTTCACCATCCTGTGGCCCCTTGCGTCTTGCTGGTATTAACACCTTTCTTGGCGTCGTGTCTCTTACTATGTAACCCTATAATGAGTGTGGTTCTTAGGCGTTGTACACTGTGAAAAACATTGAAAAAGCACAGACATCTTAGTGACTTTATTACTGTGCTTGGGGTGAAATGATTACAAAAGGATTGAAGCGCTTTCTGGAGATGTACAAGTAGACGACCATTTTTCCACCAACTTGAATGATGATCCGTTCAAATAAGTGCCACATAAAACAAGGAAGGACCTTCATACTTCTTTGTTTTTCTTTGAAATTATCAATATACAAAGCATGTAAATCTATATTATATAATAAAAGCTTACGTCGCTGTGTGATTTGCGGGGGCATAGTAAATGTATATGCATATGTGTGGAGATAAGTCATGTGACGGCCGTTTAATGACATCACACCATTGAGTGACGAAAACAACAGTCAAATTCAGTTTGTTTACAGCAGCCAAACCGAGCGGTTACATTTTTTTCTTAGTCTGAGCCAAGGAACCTGGACTGAGGTTCTAATCAGCCGTCTTCATCAAATGCTACAGTTTACAAGAACATGGTGCCAATTCCTTTGAGAATATAACTTTCCCAGATATAGAAAGAACTCCTTTGTACTGTCCTCAATTTGCGAAAGACTAGATGATTCCCCTTGGTGAAATATGTCCTCACCGGGAAAATAGTAGATGAAACCGTCCCATCTGAAGAATTTCTATATTATATGTAAGATTCTACTTACAGTATTCTTTGACAGGTAGATATATGTGATATAATTTCCCTCCGTGGGCCACATGTACATATGTATATAGAGTTGTGTGTATGTCTTTGTGCTTTCTGGTATAAAAGTCTCCCTGATAACAAAGCATGTCTGTCATTTCTTTTCCTTCTGTATTCTGTTTCCTCCATGAAATAATGTGTTATTATATCATGGATATATTAACGCAAATAATGGGGCAATTACAATGTGTTACTCACAGAATAAAAAGCACAGCGTTACAGAGTGGGCCAATATCTATATTGGAAAAATTTGCAACGTCTACGGAAAGGAAATTGAAAGAAATTGGTATGAACACCACCCTGATAGAACTTGTGACAATTTTATGGGGTTGTGCAATACACAGAGACAGAACAATCGCCCAGAAATCGTTATTAGTGACCGCAAACAAAATAAATGCCTCTTTATTGAGATGGCAGTCCTTGCAGACTGCGATGTATCTTTGAAGATGTACAAAAAGCTATGAAAAAAGAAGGATCGAAGTCTCCAAAATGTGGCACATGAGATCATCAACAATCACTTTTGTAGTTGGAGCCCTCGGATTGATTGTAAAGATTCCAATAGACTCATTGAAAGTATTCCTGGCAGTTTGTGCATTAAAGAAATACAAATAATGCACTCACGAGTATAGCCCAAACCTTACGAAGGGTGTTATCTCTGTAAAATATGTGTTTGTGTTTTTGTTTTTGTTTTTTTTACTTGCTCAGTGAAGAATGTCACGGTGCCATTTCTGACATTAGGTCTCTGGGTGGGAGACAGAAAGAAATAAGTACGCACCACGTTAATTGTTCAGTAATAAGGATAATTATCATGTAATTTTTTTTTTAAATTGTTGAAATATTTTACGTCTTTGATTAGATTGAAATATATAGGCACCTACCCAAACATATATAAACCCACAATCTGAATGTAATTGAAACATTCATGTGGCAAGAATTAATCTTCATCTTTGTTGAGAAACAACCCTTACGGGTCAGGAAAAGAATGTGAATAGAAATGTACAGATTTTTGAAGTCATATAATTCCTCCTTTAAACTAAATATTCTTTTATTACTTTAGTTTTTTAAATAAAATAATTATTTAAATTTCAAATTTGATCATCTTGCCGTCTGAGAATTATATGTCATGCACTGTCAGGTCGTTCATAAAAATAAAAGTCGAAATATATATATATATATATATATATATATATATATATATATATATATATATATATATATATGTGTGTGTGTGTGTGTGTGTGTGTGTGTGTGTTTATATATATATATATATATATATATATATATATATATATATATATATATGTGTGTGTGTGTGTATGTATATATATATATATATATATATATATATATATATAGATATATATTCAATGTATGAGGAACAAACGGATCAGTTTTTAGGGACTGAGAGTCCGACACCAGCACCTGAGATTGGTTTATAGTGATGGATGGATGTCTTATGCAAGAGCCATCCACACATTTAAACGGCTGAATACATAGAATATACAGGGGCCCCAAACGACCCTCCGCAGGTTTTGAATTCGGAGTTGTCCTTCTTCTTGTCCAGCCAAGACTACAGAACCCAGTCTATCCTATTATTTTCCCGTGGCTAGAGGGAGAACAAAATGGTTAATACCTATCCCCAAGGGTATTAGCACGTAAATGAATGTAATTGATTATACTGGGATTCGAACTCGGCTCTCAAATTCTTCAATGCTAGCGTTTATCCATTCCTCCATCGTTATTCTCTCTTTTATTCACACACACACACACACACACACACACACACACACACACACACACATATATATATATATATATATATATATATATATATATATATAAAACAAAAAACTCTCAAGTTACCGTATTAGTAAAAAACGGTCTCTCTGAAATTTTCAAAAAAATTCAACCTTACCCTTGCGACTGGACGCTCGAAAACTTTTTATCCGTTAACAATAACACATTTCTAAAAAAGCACATTTCGATTCGCATTTAATTTTTCGTCTGTAATGCAACCTGGATTTTCCTAAAAAAATATAATTTCCATGTCTTAGGATGACTGTAGGTACAACTGAAAGTACTAGCTGGTTAAAAAAGACTTATATAGCTTATAGTTATGTGGCACCATTTACCAGGGCAAAAAGAAAAGAAAGGAAAAAGAGAAAGGAAAGAAATGAAAAGAGAGGCGAGACCCAAGCGTGGATGATAAAAAAAACACCCACGACCGGAGACAATTGACAATGTTATTTTGATAAGTAGCAAATGGCTAAAAGTGTCATTACCATGGCAGAAAAATTCTCAGTGGATAAGTGAATCGACTATGTTCTGGCGACGAACTTGTGTTATCGGGGAAAGATAACACCCGCTTAATGCGGGCAAAACATCTAATTAGCAAACCACAGACCGACTAGCCAAGAAAACTCCAATTGAAAATGTTATTCTGATAATTGACAAAGAACAGGTGAAATACAGGGCTTTGGAGAGATATGAAAAATTAACTGTGTCGTCTGTTAAGCCGCACACGAAGTAGCGTCTGACCGTTTTTTTTTTTGACAAGACATCTTTGGCTGTGATAACAGAACTATGTTATCAGAAATTTGCGCCAAAGTATGACTAGAACAATGGAGCTGTTTTTTTCGAGAGGACGATGTTTTGCTCACCACCCATTCTGATAATTAGCGAAAATCTGACTGACGAGGTCCAGATGAAGAATAGAATTTATGACACCACTAGTCGCATTGTTCTGTTGGTGGCCAGAGAAGGTGAGAGCTGCGATTAAGGAAAGAAAAGGAAGAGAAGAAGATAATTTTTTTTTTGAGCAAGATATATTTTTTTTCCTGAAACAAAGCCCACCCGGTTTTGGTCGGCGTCCATATAAGCAAAGACGCAGCGAGCATAAAACAGTACAGCTGAGTTGGGGTTAAAAAGACAGGACACAGTTCAGTACAGTTCCGAAGAGTTCAATCCAGTGTTGAGTTGGGCAGAGTTTCACGAAGAGTTCAGAGCGCTCAGTTGAAGCCGGCCTCGCAGCTGACTAAGATTCGCGCAGCTTCCGAACTCATCTTCAATCCAAGAACAATTATTTTGAAGAGCGACTTAGATCCAGACCACCAAAATAAGTTTTTTCGACTTTCGCCTGAAGACACACCAAGAACCAATTTCTTGAAGAACAGACAACTTAAAGTGTTAAAACTCGCCTAACAACAAACAACGTGTCACAATCCATATAACGGGTCGGGAGAAAGACGCAGTCCTATGTATCCAGCAACTAGACATAAAGTTTTGTTATCCCTTTTTTTTGATACCTTGAACTTTTGAGTTATAATTTTCTTTTCTTTTATGCATATTTGTGCGGTGTCACCCTCGTTGAACTCGATTTGCATTACGGCCCCAACTAATGATTGATTTCGTCTGCCTAAGATCAATTCACAACGTGGGTAAGCAGACTGGAGATCAACAGAGTTACTTTGGTAACCAGACGTTGGAAGTGAGTAGGGAACGACGAGGCTGATATCGAATCTAACCAGATTCCTATCCGAATCACCAAACGGTTAGAACATCACATTTGGGTGCCGCGACCGATACCAAGCCAGATGGTGGTCACAGGACGGGCCAACACGACTGACGCAAACAGGCGGACGTCACGTTTGGAGCGGCGACACCCGAACGAAGCAGCGAGGAGCGAGCGAAGGCTGTGTTTAGGGACGTCACAGTTATTAAAAACAAGGCTCATAACATTCATCGAGTGATTTGTAGCTTATGCAACTTTAAAATTTTGGTTTGCGATGTGATTTCGCCATTTTATATCATTAACGTTACTAATCTACTTTTTGTATAAATGATTCACTGTGATATATATATATATATATATATATATATATATATATATATATAGACGGTTGTTTTTCGACGTATTAGCTTCTAGCATTTAGAATCAAACAGGCTAACCACACAGATGGTTTGATTATATATTTGTACTTTTGTGTAGAACTGACCACAGGTTTGGGATGAGTCTAATACAGTGAATATGTATAACCCTATGTCACAGTTTCTAGAAACAATACTGCTGATGTTTTGAATTCTCCTAATCTGGTTGAATCCAAGGAAAACGGGACCCAGTCTGTTCACCTATTTACTAATATTTAGGACTAGAAGAAGTGTGTTCAAACCATTCTCAAGAGTATTGTTAACTAACTGAATGCAATGACCTCAACTGGAAATCGAAATTCGTTCTCTGGTTCCCCAATAGATCCTAGCTTTTATCCATTACTCATATGTAGGGGCACTGAGGTAATGTTTTTGTTGAAATATTTATTATATGCATTAAAATGATGCAATTTTATTATTCAACTGAAGAAAAAAAAAATATATATATATATGTGTGTGTGTGTGTGTGTGTGTATGTGTGTGTGTGTGTGTGTGTGTGTGTGTGTGTTGTGAGAATGCGTGTGTAGTTGTTCCTACATCTGTGCGTTTGTTATAAATTAGAATCTTTCTATGATTATGTATGGAAACTTTCTGAGATATTGTCTTCAAATCGAATAAACTAAAGTAGATAACGTTTTTGATTTTTTTTGTAAATCTTTCCTAAAGAAATAATAACTTAAAATATTTTAATCAAAATCTACAAAAAAAAAGGCTTTCTGAATTTTAGTTGCGATTTATTATGACCCTCCAGACAGCCATCTTTTATTATTAATTTTTTTGAAGTTATCCACTTCTTTTGCCGATTTATTACAAGAAACTTTTATAAAGTTATGGAACACGCCTCGAGAGTAAATCATTCAAAGTTACACCACTGTATTAGAAACATATGGAATATTGTTTCTGTTTAATCAGCATTGTGATATAGAATATTTTTTCTGTGGAAAATACATAGATAGATAGATAGATAGATAGATAGAATGACGTTGGCAGTAGTATAGACAGACAGACTAGCAGGCACACTGATAGTTTCATAGATAAATAAGGGAAATGTACTAATGAACTTAATCAACTCTGAATTGGTTAAGTATATTACCTCGCAGAATCTTCCTTCAGATAACCAATATGGCTTTCGCTTCTCTAGGTCAACTGCTGATGTACTAACGATTATTAGTAAAAAAAATTATAAAGCTATAGTTACAGTTCGGCTTGTTGCTTTGTATATCTCGAACGGACTTGACCAGGTTTTTCATACTAGTCTTCTTCACAAGTTAAAAACCTATGTTATTTTTTAAGTGATTGAGTCTTTCTTATCAAATCACTAAATGAAAGTAGTCTTGAATGGCTACTCTTCTACATCTTTTTGATTGATACAAGTTCCCCTTAGTTTTCTATGGTTGGATTCTTTTCGACTAATTTTCCTCAAAACCTTTACTGATGGCAAATCAGTTTTCCATTCGGTATCTATGCTGATATCACCACTATTTACTCCTGTCTGACCTGTTCGATAAATTTAAATGACTTGTTAATTTTAACGCTTCAAAAACGAAACTGCTCTCTATTAATCATTATATAAATACCTTTCTGCCTTCCATCTACATGACTGATGCAAATCTACACTGGTTTAATTCTCGGGCTAACGTTTTCTGGTGATAGGAATTGGAAAGATTATAATTAATAAATTTCTAGGTTTGTAGCTAGAAATGTTGGCTCGCAGTGTCGTGCTAGATAGTTTTCTCGCGAGAATCTATCTGACGTTTTCTCTAGCATTTGTCCTTGCATTAAATCTTGCTGTCACACATGGTCCGCTATATATTTAGAGATTCTTGATAACACCACAATAATAATCTGAAAAGTCATCGGTTCTGACCTGACATCAATGACCTGTTTGTTTCCTGTAAATGCATTCACGTTAATTTTTTCTGAGGAATTTGGCGATAGGATGGGATGACTTTATGAATTTTCGTACAGTTTCCTGCATTTTGCAGTTGTGATTGTTTAGATGAAACCACAAGTAATATGCTAAGGGTTTCTTTTCCCGCAATTCTCGCTTGTGGAAATCTTTTCCGACTTTTGATTTCCAGAAATGTAAATGCAATGTCAATCGGTATATCTTTTTAGTCCCAGTTCTTTTATTGACTGCAGTGGATAGATAGATAGATATGACGATATTGCAATAGATAGATAGCGACTATAACAGATAGACAAATATATATTGAGAGATAGATAGATAGATAGATAGATAGATAGATAGATAGATAGATAGATAGATAGATAGACAGATAGATAGATAGATAGCAATTGATAAAAAAATCGTTAAAGATATAAAGATATACATTATATATATATATATATATATATATATATATATATATATATATATATATAAGAAGACGTTGCAAGATAGATAGATAGATAGATAGATAGATAGATAGATAGATAGCAATTGATAAAAAAATCGAAAGATAGAGAGATATAAAGACTGCAATATATATATATATATATATATATATATATATATATATATATATATATAAGAAGACATTGCAGGAGATAGATAGATAGATAGATAGATTGATAGATAGCAATTGATATAAATCGAAAGACAGAGAGATATAAAGACTATAATATATATATATATATATATATATATATATATAAGAAGACATTGCAAGAGATAGATAGATAGATAGATAGATAGATGGATAGATAGATAGATAGATAGATCTCATGCTCCAGGTTAATATCTGAGTAGACGCCCCGACTCCAGGCTTGAGAACTTGAGAGACCTAAATGTTGTGCCCTCAGGGAAGATTCGAACATGCGCCACTCACTTTAACCACCTTTTTAAATTTAGAAAAACTTACATAAATATTCTATATTGTATATTTTAATTATTTTTTAAAATTTTAATGTAAGATTGTCTGTAGATAATTTGTTATTTTGTATGCATTACTTCTTTTAGTGGAGTTTATTTACATAATATATTTAATTTTGTTAAATAATATGTTGCTTTCTTTCAAAAACGTCGAACAATCTTTAATTGGTGTAATGTATCTTAAATATTTTTATGCGGCATCCACTTCCGGGAAAATTTTAAGATTTCTGTATGACTGCTATCTTAATGTTAAAAATCTTTCATTGGCCGAATTGTTATCAACAACTTTTATCTTTCTTTCTTCATTTCATTGCCTTTTTTCTTCTTTTTCCTTTTCTCTTTTTTTGTATTGATTAATTTTGATGTTTACTCCTCTTCTTTTTCCTCGTCTTTTCTTTTTCTTTATATTCTTCGGAGAAGGATTGTGTTCTTTCATGTTTTTTTCCAAACGTTTTATATTTCACTTTGTTCTTTCTTTTTTCCTTTACTTGTTTTTTATCCTCTTGATATTTTTTTTTTGCTTTAACCTGCTAATATTATATTTTTTTTTCTTTTCCATTTGTGAATTTTTTATATATTGTTCATATTATCTTTCATAGTAATTCTTCTTGTGTCTTCTTAAAATTTTAAAACAATGTAAAAAGAAGTGATGTTCCATAAGTAGCATTTTTAAATAAAATGGTTTATAACCAACTTTGTTCATCACCTGATGAGATGCTTACTTAAGCATCGAAACATATATTAATCTTTGTAGTGATTACTTGTTTGTCCATATGTAACATCTTAAAATAAATAACTATTTCTCTACATTTGGTATTGAGCCCTGTTTTAAATTCATGTCTTGAACGTTTGACTTTATATTCTTTTCTTTCTCGTTACATTTGTATATATATATATATATATATATATATATATATATATATATATATATATACACTTGATAAAAGAGTGCTCAATACAATTCTACAGAGCATAAATATTATAAATTTACTAGCTTAAAAATATGGTTCCATCGCTACACATGAAGTACCATGCTTCAAAAACAGAAACTAAAAATTTCAAAATTAATTATAGAATTAAATTAAAATCCCTAGTAGTAGTAAATTTATAACGCACACACACACACAAACACACACACACACACACACACATATATATATTTCTTAATATATGACGTCATTTGTTTACATTTGATACGCCAGAGCAGTTATGAATGTACGAGATTCATGGAAGATTGAAGTTTATAAGCAGTAAATTCGACCTTGTCTACCGAAAGGTTCTTTGTGGCCGAGCGGTCAAGGCACGTCAGCGTAAATGACGGTTCCGTATAGGATGCAGGTTCGAATCCTGTCAAAGAACGAATATTTTCTATGAAAATTTCTCGGACATTCAGGTCGGTAAATGTTGTTTAATACTGTTTATCATAAACAGAGCATTTGCTTAAATACTTGTATCTATAAATAACAACGTTAAATATATATATATATATAGTTATGAAGAACTTGGTAATCCGTATGGGTAATCCCAAGGAGGATGAAATCCTGAGAGCTCAATGTAAATCCAGAGCTAATATTTAAAAGAAATACAGACCACTGTTTTTCTTCTTTCTTTCTTTTTTTTTATTTTTTATTTTATTTTTATATATATATATATATATATATATATATATATATATATATATATATATATATATATATATATATATATATATATATATATATATATATATATATATATATATATATATATATGAGATAAGAAAAATGGAGTAAAATTCCACTGTCCGTAAAATTTAATTTCAAAGAAGGTCAATACAGAATAGGCCTAAATATAATTTATTATCGGAGATTAAAACAAAAAGTATTATCAATTTCGAAGTTTAATTATATTGTAAGTTACTTTGACATTTGTAATACTTTTTGTAACAGTAATATTTGTTCGATTGACTATTGTGTACCTTATACGGTTTATTATTCTATTTTGCAAAATTCATTTAGATAAAATATAGCTCTGTATTTATGTCTAGTTAGTATTATTAACATTTTATATGGATATATATGCCTAGTTAGTATTATTCATATATTCTATTGATTAGTTTGTATCATTAACATCTTTTTGGATGCTCTTTTCTTAACAGTTGATTATTAATTTATTCAAAGTAGTTTTGAATTTATGATTCATTTTTTTTTCTTTTTTAGCGCTATTTTGTAAGATTCTATTTAGTTTATGATATGATTTTTGCGTAGGTCTCATATTGATTCATTAATAAAAGTATACCCACAAGCCACGTTTTAGTTCTGTTTTTTTTTCGTTTTCTCTTTCTCTTTCAAACAAAAAAAAGTGGAAGTACTCTGTTTTGAAATAAATCGTTCACTCACCAGTGATTTACCATCGTCCGAGGAGACACATCTGTAGTGTTTAAACACGGTTGCCAATAGGTAGCAATTTTTTTGTTTTTGTTTTAATTACATATTATATATATAGATATTCACCATTTTTGTTTTAAAACCCACACATATATATATATATATATATATATATATATATATATATATATATATATATATATATATTCACCATTTCTCCGACCAATTTTAATTGTTTTGGTGCCCTTCACGCAGAACCTTTTCACTGCCAGTTCAAGAAAGACATTTGGGGCACTAACACACAAAAAAGGGAATGTCACATACCGAGAATATTTAACATCGAAAAACATAAGAATAAAATTAAATATATTTAACAATATGTTGAAATCTCCACGCTTTGCCAGATGATGGTTGCGAGACCGGAAACTCGTGTAGCAAAATTATGGAAAATGAAGCATAATATATATATATATATTTTTTTAAATTCCACATTACAAACAAAAATGTTTGCGGTTTCTTTCTTTTTAATATACACACTTTTCTCTCGTTGTAACTACTATGGCATCTTCCCTTTATATATATATACATGTATATATGTATGTACTGACGACACATACTGTATGTATCTACATATATCTATATCGACCTTGTATAATTTATCTAAATGCATTACATATTTATTGTAAAATAAAAGATTATTTGCTAAATGATTGCAATATCAGCGGTGTGAATTTGTACTCTATTTCGGTCTGCGTACATCTCTGAAATATTCGTCTCATTTTGATAGAACGGTTAAAAGTTTGAATCTTACAGTTCAGTTACGTTGACATTTAATCAGGTGTTGTCTGACTTTTATGACCGCTAAAAAAATGTGTCCAACAAAAGCAGCGCTTACCAATGGTAAAAATGATCAAAATTACAATAATAATAATAATAATAATAATATAAAAATGTAGGTTATTGATTAATGAGGAAGAAGTTCGTTACGAATAATTCCGATGAAATTCTCTTTAGAGCAAATTATGGAAGTTAACTCATAATGTTTTGTCCAACTTCATGCAGACTAAATACAGGGTTCGGTTCAAAATTCCAACGTGTATCACCTGAAGGAGGACGAAGCGTATAACGGTCGAAACGTCGTGAACATTACAATAAAGATGAAAACAACATATCAAACAATGTAAATAGTGTATATTATTACGAGAATTGTTTGCAATAAAAAGACACTTGATAAAAGATAATAATGATAATTCATTACTTGCATTATTTACATTAATCGGACTGCAATATTCATCTTGATTGCCATATTCAAAACGTTTCGGCCGTAGTACGCCCCGGCCTTCTTCATATGATTGGAATTTCGAACCGAACGCTTTATTTCATCCACGGAGTCAGGACCCATGGCTTTTTTTAAAGACGTTGTTAGATGCAGTGACTAGATCAAAAGAGTTTTAAGTTCAATACCAGGCCACAGCAATGTTGAACGAAAAAACATGTTGATTTAAGTTAAAGAAAAATAACTGAGACATCTTGAAGAATCATGAAACGTGGAACTAGAAAATTTTACCCCGGTGGACGAAATAAAAGATTCGGTTCGAAATTCGCATCACCTGAAGAAACTTCGTAATATGTCAATGTAGATGAAGATAAGTTCTAATAATGTAAATAATGCATGTAATCATAATATCACATCTAAGAGATATAGGCAGTTATCTCATAAAGTTTTGTCCAACTTCATGTGAGTTATAAAGTATAATACTTTCTCATTTTATAAAATTGTCATGCATCGGGGATTCAAAAATAGATGAAGTGATTTTTAAAAAAAATAAACACAAGCAAGGCAATAAAGCCATTAAGATGCAGAGAGTCACTGTGTGTAAAATAATATAAGATAAGGAAACATTATTAATGAGGAGAAACAGTAAATGAACAGAACTTAAAAAGAAAATATATAACGATTGTCGTTGCTTTTAGGTTTTTGAAGATCAAACTTGACAGGATTGCAAGAAGAGTTCAACAAGCAAGAAGTGCGAGAAAAGTTTAACGTAGAATGTCTAACCATTTAAACTGTAAAATCTAGTAATGAGCATAAATTCATAGTGTCTATGTACCAAAGAGAGAGATTACTCAGAACAATTGCCTTTAAAGTATTTTATCAATCATCTCAAACTGTATAGCAGGAATATTATAAGTATATATATGACTATATATGGCTTATAAATTTACAAGGTAGATTCGGGCGACAGAAAACAATGATTCAGTATAATTTTCAACATGTCAGCGGAAAATGAATTGCAATGAGTGGCCTGTGGTAATTAAATACCACCAAAAACCAAGCAATGTTTCATCACTTTCGTTGCGACCCACATTTTTGGAGCTGCTGAAGCCCAAGTTTTAAAACTATTAAGACTTGATAGAATTCAAAAGCGCTTTCGAGAACTTGTAGGGGATAAATTATTTTCCACCCTACGATCACTTTCCAGCTGGTGAAACATTATTTGGAATCAGTCTAAAGCATGTCGGTTTTAATGAAGGTTTCCCCTGCAAAGAAGGATGCAGATTCGCATTGTACTGAACAG